GGATGGCTAAACTCCCTCGGCGTGTTATCTCTCTATTTCGGGCCGATTTCTACTATAATCCAGCCGTGCCCTCAAGCCTGGTAGAGGCTAGGTAATTACGCGATTTGACCAAGCAGTACATAGAACCACTCATTTAGAGCTTGGATGGTAGTCAAGTCTTCTCTCTGAAAAATGACTTAGTTCTGTGGCTAGCTTTCCTTACATCCGTTACAAAGCCGATGTAGAAAAAAATAACTGTTCGTGTTAGAAGCGTGATAGATCAGTAATAGAGCAAAATCGTCTACATACACGTATTAATGCTACAAGCAAACAACAATAAAATTATGTTAAGAAATGCTAATCTCCAAGCAGATCTTTTGGTGGCCAAAAAAGATAGTATCCAACACGCGGACAGTATCCAGCCGGCCGACAGTATCCAACGGGCCGGCTGTCAGAAAAAAAACGGGGCATAGAAAAAGGTCACAATCTTCCCCTTCAACCTCTGCTTGGAGAGTAAAGAAATGCAGCAATATGGTCCTTGGCCATTTATCAGTATGAATATGTCTTCATGAGCAGTAAAACAAAAGTAGGATACCTAGAACGTGTTGGCAAGCACAGAGCATTTGGCCGTCTCAACCTTAGCATGTCCACATGCCAAATAACTGTGGAATCTGTTTAAGGCCATAGCCATGTTAACAAATTGTGACAGTTAAAATGCTAGCAGGGTTCCGAAATGCCTATATTTTTCCTACAATAAGACAGATATTGAAACATCTTTAAGTTACCGCTTTGATGAAAACAGTTCGATAAATACCGCTGTGGTGTAGGAACAAGAGCGTGCATTGCGTAATACAGCACTGTTACTGAAATATGTTTGAGTAAGATATCAAAATGAACATGGCAATCTAGGTTGATCTAGTTGCTATAGAATACTTCGACAAGGTGATGTTTACACAGGGGACTAACATAAATATGGTGGTCAGTTTGGATAGCAATGCCCGCTCCAGTTGACGAAGTGTTGCTAAAGTATGGTGCTTCTATATACGGTGTATGCCTGTCGGTAGAAACGTTGCTTTTCGTGATGTCTATCGTTGTAGATTCATGCAGTATTTAGGCTTGGTTTTATTTATCCCATTTATTTGCTACCAAAAAGAAATTGTCTTGGAAAAGCGTGCTAACTGCATTGATGACATGTGCTAAAGATTGCAAACAAACAATGACTCATTTTTATACCATAAAATCATGCCATACCTTTTAGCTATTGGTAAAAAATGTGCTGGCACCCCCTCTAACCCATTTTTTCCAAAAGGTCTATCATATATTGGCAATATGTCCTAAAAAAACTACTGTACAAAAAAAACATTTAACACAACTTTTTTTGTCTTGACACGTTTTTCACCCACAAATAAAAATACGTACTAAATAAACGTACTAAATAACCAAGTCTCAGTATTTTGAATGGTGGATACTTGCATGACTGCGCGGTTATGTGTTTGTGGTCTCGTAAACGACCGCAGCCTAATGCTAACTCAAACAGGTGGTACAGGGTGGGATAATACACGGCATTCTGTACACACCGATGCTATCTTCTCGTGCGTGTACCTTCGTGGCAATTTTGCTTCTTGGTCTAGTCAATACAGAAGTGCCGGTCCTTTATATGACAGTGATAGACGCATACTTTTCGGACATGTTTTAAGTAAATTTCCCCACTTCGGATTCTTAACAAGTAAACAAAAATTTATATTCCTGTTAACCTTTGCCAGTAAACCAAATCTAACTACCCATACAGCATCGTACATTTATACAAATACTAAGAAGCGAGAAGAAGTTGAAAAGACTAGAATACATTAGACATTTATATATACATGTACATGTAATAGTTATATGTATATTTATATGAATATGTATTCGAATGTGTATAATGTGACCTGTGCTTAGCCCAATGGGGCAAAAATGTACAATAAAGGTCTTCATTCAATTCTCTAAACTGAAGCTTATTCGAGTTTTCTGACCCGAATTTGAACCCGAAAGTCGCCGGAAACATGTCATCTCTTAACGTATTGTTCTGTAAATTTATCGTCACTGTTTATATATAACTGTAATGTGTGTGCAAGTGTTACCATATGAAATAGATCCGATTGACACTCTTCATACCAATGTTCAGGATCAGGAGTTATAATCCGTTTACACCAGCACGACATTTCCCAACGCGTCTAGACAGAACCGTTAGTAGAACTAACGGTGCGTTTAGAGACAGATTCAAAAGTTCACGAAACCCCTTTTCAGTTGTAGTGCTGATGTTTTTTTTAGTTTGATTGTCGAATTAGACTATCGTCCTAGGCAATAGTTTATGGATGTTTTTGTTCTATTCTCGATTTGTGTAGTCATCTATCATAGGTCAGGCGAAACATGAGCGATTATGTAACAGTAATTCGCGTTTCAGGAAATGATGCCAGAGAGGCTGTAAAAAGACCGTCCGTAATAAGAAAAGAAAACTAAAAGCGTTAAAATTAACTTCGTCTAACGATTAAGTGCAAGGGAACTACAATTTCAACCACTCCCCAGACCAAGAGTTTTTGGTTGACTGTCCCAAACCTAGTAACAGTTACGTGTATATTTTTGTTGTATGAGCCACGATACACGTTTGTTGTCAGTGACAGTATGTTACTTGCTTTATCACCCAGTGCTTCTCGACGATAACTCATCAGATTGTTTTCTTTTTTCTATATGTAATATTTCTTTCATCATTTGCAGGTGATGCAGTTCGGACACGATTTAATCGTGAAGGAATTACTGGAGAACGGCGCCGACCCGAACGTTCGCGACCCGGGTAGGAAAGGACAGTACCCCGTCCACGACGCGGCGCGGGGCGGCTGGGATGAAGCCTTGAAGCTCCTGTTCGACTACCACGCCGAGTTGGACGTCAAGGACGACGAAGACATGACTCCGGCACACTTTGCCGCCAAAAAGGGTCACGTCAGAATTCTAGAATTCTTGCGTGCCAAAAGTGCGGACCTGTGGGCGAAAAACAGGCAGGGACAGACGCCGCGAGACCTCGCGAGAATCCACGGGAGGACGGACGTGACGGCGTGGTTTCGAGGCAGCTTTCCGGAGCAGCACACCGAACAGCAAGGACAATGACGTCACGGGACCGTTAGAACTCTTGTGAGTTTCTCATTAGGCCACAGCAAGTAATTTTTATGGATGACATCAGCGCGCGCATTAATTTTCGCCTGATTTTGGAAAAAAACGAGAAATTTTGTTGCGTTTTGGCAGTGGCCAACATGCCTAAAATCATATCAAAAATGGGCAAAAATGTCTGTTGCCATGCCGGAAGGTGGATGGCAGATAACTATAAAGAGAGGAGACAAGAAAAGGCTCTGATTTAATGTTGTGTTTCTTACTTTGAAGCAGTGATATGTGATGCTGGCTGTGTAAATGTGATGTTCCTACTAAACCAAAACCATTTGTACAATGATTTCAAATTGTAAGACCCTTGTTTTTTCGGCCCGCCTTGGTTTTTTTTTTTCGCGCGGTCGCATTAGATTTGGAATCTGCGTAGAATGTCATCCATAAAATTTACTTGCTGTGACCTTACCTGATTTTTTTCACCAATTTCTCGCCAACCAAGGGAGGCGGCATGACCGCTATGTCGTGTCCCAGTTGGACCTGACATGAAGCGGCCTAACCTAAGGGAGGCCATGCCCTCCCCAATTACAAACACATAATGTCGTTCACGGCTCAACGAATAGTAATCACATGTGATTGGAGAGATCTCCAACAGTTGGCAATATCATACATTTCAAATACTACTAACGTTGAGCCACATGTCTGGTGACCCCTTTGCAGACGACAGTTGGACTTAACAGGGTAAAATTGAATATCTGTAACCGTCAACACGTGCCTTAGGCCATGCTGATTTAATTATATGGATGACATCCACGCGCGCATGAATTTTCGGCCGCCCCCCCCAAAAAAAAATTCAACCATACTGTAAATCGTACACAACGGTTGTGCAAAATGAGCAAATATTTGCAAAGTTGCAAAAAATATTTAAAAACGATACCAATGTCGTAGGATGCCAAAATCAAACAAACTAACGTGTAAAGAAATGAATTTGAAGAGTAGATAATTCACTAAACCATAGTCTTTGTCATTTTTTCAACCATCATGACCACGTAGATTTAATAATGAAAGCAACTTTTTTTTTTTGCAAAACTTTTTTTTTATTCGCACGCTCGCATCAGTTTTGGGGTTCCCAGAGGATGTCATCCATATAATCAAATCAACATGGCCTTACTAGTACTGCATTTGTATTATCATCGTACTATTAAAAAAGGACAATACAAAATGATCGTTGCCATGCCCGGCAAACGATGGTCATAGGGACGTCCAAAATAGCCTTGTGAGTTCAACTGGCCGTCTTCTTTGGTCCAGCCATTTTACAAAAAGGACTTCGACAGAATTTTTACATAAGTAAGATAAAAAAAACAATGACTGCTGCTTTCAGTGATACTGCCAAACTAGCATACGAAATTATTGTACAATCGGAGGCTATAATAGTGATATAATACATAGTCACTACCGAATGACGCTGTTTAGTTTACATCCAATTTTGTTTTTCTCGTACTTGACTTGTGTAGAACCAGGCTTGGAAGCTCGGCATTGAAGGGAAATACGTCGTCAGGAAAAAAAAGTCGATAAGAGTTGAAAAATTTTGGTCTGGAACGTTTAGCCTTCAAATCAGTGGGTCCTAGAGCCGGTATCAGGGCTTGGGAGAGGGAACGGGGGTCTCTTTGGTTCAGGTCAGCCAGTGTCGGGTTGCAGACCGACGCTACTCTCTTGTAAAGGCATCAGATAAAAGCGACACAGAGAGCATGGCTCACTCTCGACTTGACGCCAGTGTCATATTTGAAGCTGTCAGGACGAGGGCTCTTCTGGTCTCAATATGGATTAAGTACCGTTGATTGCTTGGTACAGTGTGGGATATGTCAACAATCTAATCGGTGTTGTGGCACAGGGCTAGACAAGAGTTCAGGACTAGTGCGCGGCTAATTCTTCCCCCACTTCTCCACAGTAGCAGGCGTATCAGTGTGAGAAATCGGGCTGAAAGCGTCTCAACAAGAGAAGCCACACGCCTTATTTGGACATGGTTCCCGGCGTCTTCATTAGCGTGTGTTTAAAGGACTGAACAAACGCGCAGTTCACAAACAAAAGGAAACAAGTTGTGTCGTGCGAGTCACAGACAAACAAACCAAATGTACCGGTAGTTTGGGAGCTCTGGCGGGTGTAACAGCCGTGAGAGTTGTATCAACAGGAGGGAACACGTTAGTGTAAGACGCTGGAGTGTTGTTTTGGGAAAGTCGGCCCACATCTGTTCAGAAGGCAGACAGGTAGGGGGCTGTGAGTGACAGGGGGTGGGGAGGGTCGTGCGCCCGACACGTGTCCGGCTACTCACACCCGCTGGTAGCTGTAAACCGAGCCCGGCCGGCCAGACGGCGGTCCCGCCTGCCCACGCGTCCTGTGGGCCGCCCTGGCCGGAGTTCGTGGCTTCCCTTAGCAACCGCCTCATCCCCCCTGCTCCTCTCACGGCGTGGAACAACACGCGGTCTTCACGTTTATTCGCTTTTTCAGACGTTTGTCGTTCAAACACGAGCGACACTGTACAAAACCAGAGCCCGAAAGAAGAGCCTAACCCCCGACTCCGTAACGAAAGAGCAGGGGGGGTCTTAACAGGTTCAAAGGACCGTAAAAAGGTCAATCATGTGGCGACAAAGTAAACTTTTCTCAAGTCGTGTCGGCGTGGCGTGTGGCAGACGTGTGTGCGGGCAGGCTCGGGTCAGGTTACCGTACAGACTTCTCCCCAAACCTGTTTATCGGCTGGCCTGACCCTCCTGCCCCTGTTTGTAAACTCTGCCGCTCTCCTGGTCGAGAACCCTTTTTGTCTGAATTAACAACAGAAAAACAAAGTTCAGGAGTGCACTTCTCTGTCTGGACCCGTGTCGTGACGCTCTAGATCAGGACTCTGATATCTAACCATTCACGGTTACCCTTTCATCAAATGAAGGCCTGCTTTTCAAACAGCTTTCGTCATTGGCCAATGACGTCGAGCTTCCAAGCCTGTTTCTCGTGTTACACGCGGAAAGTACCAGTTTCCGCAGCGCAGGTCAAGTTCACCAACACAAACGTGTCGCAAACGGACAGTATCAGCCATGTCAGCTACAAGGACCTGTAGTGTTCAAACATCCTACTTGTTTGGCAGTTAACGGCCAAATTTTAAAAGGCGGTTTGACTTTTGGCATTAGTCAAAGTCAGATCTTTTTAAGATAGACTTGTTATATATAGTATATCACCTCTGCTGGCAGATCGTAGCTAATCGTATAGAATCGTAGGTCTAAGACACGACAACTTACAGTTAAAAGGTTACACTCCTTGAAACTGTAGGACAATTTCTTCACAATTATAGCCAAATTACTACATTTATACACAAAGGTCTTCTCAAAGAAGCATTGTACAAGTAAAGGTCAGTTTTACAGACGGTTTACTGAATTTGAGATGTAATTTACAAGTAAGAGGGGGCGAGTAGCTCGGGCACGGATATCGTATGGCGCACGAACCGGAATAATATTTTGCCTACCGCCCACAAAGCACTGCGTATTAAGTTATCATCCGGCATTGAAAGGTTTCAGACCTCGAAAAATCGAATTAGGCACGCTCTAATAAAAAGACTGACACCGTGAGTTATGGGACAGCCGTCTCAGTTTGAGGTAAAATGGCTGGTCTATGGGCCTTAATTGAAACTTGATGGACTACAAAGTGCGAGGCGGGACGCCGTATTTGTTTATGTAGTCTCTTAACAATTACGGACGTGTTCTACCGGGGCATTTATACTCGTTACGGTCCGCTATACCTACATGGCTCCGGGCTTTTAGGCTACTTTGACAGGAAGCTAGGCAGTTGCTAATTTTTCTTGATCTGGAAACTTTTTTGGTCACCAGCAGTGGAAAGGGACACGGTCGCCTAACCAATTCAAAAGTTAAGAAATCGTGATGATGAATTGATGATACGTTAGCAACTAGATACACAAGTGGTCAACGAGGTTTTTTTTGGGGGGGGGGCATGGCAGAAGCTGCAAATTTGTCAGAACAGTAACTAATGAAACATTAAAATGTTTGACAAAAGAGCCTTTATGTCAGACGAATTAAGTAGAAAATGGAGTTAGTGCCGTATCCAATTGTTTCGTCATTGCCTGTACTGCAGGTGCTTTCGGTCAAACCACCATATGGTGCCCCCCTCCCCCCCAACAAAACAGTTACCGTTTAGTCTTTCTTTTGAAATACAAGGAGACCAAGATACAAATCAAGAGTAAAATCTACAAGATACACATCTACAAGCACAAATATCTTTTCGACACACAATTTCGCCCTCTTACCATAAACACTGAAGTGAACTGTCTTTTATTCACCACCGTGTGGTTTTATCGTTCTCAATTCAAAACGAAGACAATGCTTCTCTGTGTAGAAATACAAAACTTGAGCAACATCACTGATTCTGCACACACATCCTAAGTGCAGTTACAATAGGAATTCTCATGCTGTTTTCGTAAGAATACACTTACTTGATAGAAGAATCCATTCCCTATAGGAGGGGTGTTATTCCAAGGAGGTTAAAATCAACTGATTTAACCTCATTGACTATCCTAAATGCTGAATTTGAAAAAAAAATATTGCTATGTTTGGGACGAACCAACCTTTGCTGGGGAAAATAATGGTTTTATGGCACAAAATTTCAAACTTTTTCTGGTAAAATCTAGGAACGGCGCTTTCTCTAAGAGTGCGGTCCTCTAAAAAGCACCTCCGACAAATAATGGTTCGTCCCTTGATAGAAGTTGAATATTCGTACATGTAGAACAATGGATATGTAATAAGGAAATCAAAATGTATGTTAGTTCTTTATCAAAATACATCCATTTCATTCATGATAATCGCTGCTTTGTTTATAAATCGTTGAAATTATGGCAGTTCGGCAATATGTACAGTTTCTCGTTCTTTGTTGCACTCTTTATATCTTGTTTAAGTTCATTGTCGTTTTTTACGACACCGTAATAATGTATGTTACACCAAGCATGCTAGACAATTTCTTTATTTATAACTATGCTCTTAAACTACAACTGTACATACCGTTCTTATTCACTATTACTTGTAATGTTCTGTACGATAGTTCAACAGAAAATGTACAAATGCGCCATGTTTCGTCATAATTCAAAGACGTATATTAATAAATTATTGAATTAGAATGTCTGTGCCTTGTGTGGTGCCTTGTGTTTTCTTGTACTAAGCGATCATTCATTTGAAAATTAGTTCAAACAGCTAAGTACTTTGTAGTAACGAGAGATGCTTCAAATAGTCATTTTTGGTGTTTAGGCCATGTTGATTTGATTATATGGATGACATCCTCCGGGAGCCCCAAAACTGATGCGCGCGTGCGAATAAAAAAAAAGTTTTGCAAACAAAAAAGTTCCTTTCATTATAAAATCTACGTGGTCATGAGGGTTGAGCAAATGGCACAGAATATGGTTTGGCGAATAATCTAGTCTTCAAGTTCATTTCTTTACAATGTCGTCTTTTTTCGTTTGATTTTGGCATTCTACGACATTGGTATAGTTTTTATTAATTTTTTTTGTAACTTATGGTATATTTTTGCTCATTTTGCAACTGTTTTGTACGATTTACAGTATGGTTGAAAACTTTTTTTTTTTTGAAACGGCCGAAAATTCATGCGCGCGCGGATGTCATCCATATAATGAAATCAACATGGCCTAATGCGGAAAAACTGTGAATTGTGTGTGTGTGTAATCTATTATACATAGCACTTCGGCAGAACGTCTCATATAAGGTCATACTCGCGCATATAAGGTTAACATCCCGTCTGTAGTTTCCAAATGTTGTGTCGGAAAAGATATCGTCTGCAACAGGCAAAATTCTGATGCAACATTGACCAAACATTCAACGAAAACAGTGCAAAATGAAAAATACTTTCTGCCGACGTGGTGTATAACACACCGTACAGGTGAGAAAAATCCAAACCGCCACTCCGGTATGTCTACCTGAGACGACCTGGGCATGTCTGGACAGGTAACACACCTGACACCATAAATAGCTCACCTTTAGACACCAATGTTTGGGACAAGTTAACACCGAGACAGAAGACAATAGAACACAGATCAGGTGTCAGTGATAAAAAAAAAACATTTCAATTCTATCATATCATATATCGTACACATATATTGTAATAAATCAGCGAAAACGGTGCTGGTACAAGTCTATGAACGTGCGAGTTTTTTGTGTGATATAGTCGCTACACACTTTCTAATGTTGTTGGCTTTTAAAAGATTCGAAACAAATGGTTTGTGACGTTTAAAGGGCTCCCATGCATTGACCTGAACTTACCATTAAATTTGAAGCTATGCTATGCTATGTAGCTATGCTTTTCCCCTCTTGTAATTTGTTGTCATACTGACATACAAGTGACCTAGTCAATGCTCGTTTCATCCATGGAGCTATAATACTTTAACCTTTCCCAATTTGTGCGTTGACCTATTCGCACTACGTGCTCAGCAGAAAGTAAACAATGTCCGCACTGAAGTGGGCAAAAAAAGGTACAAGTCTTGGTGTTTTCTTTATAATGTCAAAAATGCAGCTCCTCGCCCAGTCCAGAACCCCGCCTAGTATCATATCTGATTTGTCTTTCGTCGTGCTCTGGTATTAAAGCAGAGAAGTTATGGAATGTACATCAAATTCAATTTTCATGAAGTAAAAGTTATGAGCCATTGTCATTTGTTCTTTCCTAGATGTGCATCAAACAAGTCCAGGCTTGTCAGTATCAGATGATAACATGATGACGATGCACGTTCCAAAAAGGGCAATGGTGGCTTTTCTGGCAAGGTGGCTAGTGCCAACAAAGATATTGTTCAGAAATATGGCCAGAAAGGGCATGCCCAGACATGCCCTAATGACGCATTTGTCAAAGTTCCTCTAAGAAGCCGGAATGGAAATCACAGTGACGTTGATCGCCACGGCTAATTATCCCTACCAGTGCAGCAGCGCCCTCGTTTGACTGGTGTACAAACTGCAGTGTTCACACAATTGTACAGTCCTTGGTACTGATTGGTATTCACACATTTGGAGTTCATACACACACAACTGCACCTATTGATAAACGACTTCTGCCTAGTAATATAATAAGACCAAAAGGTCGGTTTACTTCACAAAAAATGTGAAAAATGCAAATTGCCATGATCTCACACATGATCTTTATGACAAGAATATTTCAAATACTGTACCAAAGCCACCCTTTCCAAACCCTTTCAAATATATTTCTGTCTAATTAACTGAGCTATTTATATCACTTATAACATTGTTTTAAAAATGTTCACTTCACTACATATAGTTCCAGTTCTCTCAAGATTGTGTACAATAGTCTTAAAACTAATCTTTCTGATTCTGAAGGCACAGTTAGACTAAATAACAACTTCAACTGACAACTTACATGTAAGCCTACTAATTTCCAGTCTTGATTTGAAAGCAGTTTTGCTTTATAAAGAGTACTGTGTTGACATTTGCACTGTAAATCTGTATTGCAGAGTAGGCTCCTCAGTTATTATATTTACCGAAGGAAAACATATTGTTTTTGCTCTGTTTCTTCTTCTTCTCCAGTGACCTATGACCTGCCCAATGACATGATTTGTTGACATCTGTCACCATGGTGACTGGTGTTAGGTTACATAATGTTGCAATTTCATAGTCTGCTCTGCTCCTGTCACCATATACTAGTAGTACATGTATGTGAATGTGTTTGAGTAAGAATTAACAGAGCAGACCATGTCCAAAGGAAAACATTATGCATTTGCTTTGCAAATGTTACTTCTATAGTTGATACATTGATTCTGATTATGTGGCTGTCGTCTACCAACACCACAGAAATATTTAGCTGTAACATTGTAACACTAGTATTGCTCTTAACTTTGTGTTTATCTATTGGATATCTAGCCTTGGACTGTCTTGTAAAGCTTTCATCTTTAACACATCATCTAGCAACTTTAATCATTCGACGCTCCAACCATAAACAAGGATAGAAAAATGTAGAAAAAAATTGGTTTCTAGAATGTTTGCTTTTGTTTCATGTGCATTAGGTGAAGTCAGAAAGTTATATGCCCTCACCTGGAATGAAGTAGTAGAACTCACATTTCAGGACATAACAGTTTTCCAACTATAAAACCTTCTATAAATGTCTGCCAAATTTCAAATCATCAGTGTGTGTGTGTAAGGGGGATGATTTGAACTTTGGTTTAACAGTCTTTAGTTTAAATTTCTACCCCCAGAATATGAGTTGAGTTTGTAAACCATGCATGTTTTAACCTTCTCCCTGCCTAACCAAGTATAATCAATAGAAAATTGGTAACTAACCAGCTACTTCAGTATGCTAAAGGTTAACATCATTGATCAAAGATTATGAAGCAAGTTTAAACTGTAATATCCAACACAAACAAAATGGACTCACCCAAATTTTCGACTGTACAACTTCAGTCTTTGTCAAGAAATGAGCAATCCACCACTTCCGTGACGTCACGCAGATAACACAGGTGACTCCGTGAGCAGTGGATCATAGGTTGCAGAAAGTCTGTGGCGCCCCCCGTCTCTGTTGAGGGATGGCTGTAATGCTCTGATGTAGATGGCCTCTTTAATCCCTCATGCCAAGGACATTATACAGTATAATGTCCTTGCTCGTGCAAAGAAGTCCAGTTCTGAGTCCAAGATTCAGACTTTCTGCAACCTATGATCCACTGCTCGCGGAGTCACGTGTGTTATCTGTGTGACATCACAAAAGCGGTGGATTGCTCATTCCTTGACAAGACTGAAGTTGTACAGTCGAAAATTTGGGTGAGTGCATTTTGTTTGTGTTGAAAATTACAGTTTAAACTTGCTTCATAATGAGTTCTACCAACACGGATGAACTTTAAGATAAAGTTGATCAAAGATGGTACATGTATAAACCCACAGTCTATAATTAAGGGTTAATGTCCCGCCCTTTCTCGGTGAATATGGTGTGATAAAGCCTTGTCAGTTGCTATAACCACAGAATAAAGCCACCAAGTTCGCTGCGCTCACTTTAGCTCACAGGCTTTATCACACCATATTCACCGAGAAAGGGCGGGACATTAACACTATTATCATATAGCTTACACGATAGTCTATCCAAACTGATGCAGTAAGTGATACAATGCACATGCTGAATAGAACATAGAACATAGTTCCCTCTGGAGTCACCTGAGGTCACTGGGCAGAGTTCACGTTCTATGTCTTCTATCTGGGTCACAGGCAGGGAACAGGTGTTCTTATGGGAGTCAGCCGAGGTCATTGGAACACAACTAAAGTTATTTTTGGATTTTTTAGAACTAGAGCCCTGTTCTGCGGGTGATTATTTGGGTTGTTTAATGTATGGATTGGGATGAATAAATACCCGATTTTGACTCTATTTGTGACATTACGGCGTCATAAGGAATGTGGAATGGAGCCTTCTGATTGGTCAACGTCACCTGGCTATATGATAATGTGAAGTAAAACTAGCCAGATTGTGTTCCTGTTACAGTTTACCCTCTGATGGTGGCAGCAGGATAGAGCTGGATACAGTCACCTGGAATACACAGGGAGCAAAATATCAAAATGTTTACAGCTCTGCAAGATATTAAAAAAATCATCATTGCCTGAAATGAACTTAATCACAACCTATTTCATAATTCATTCATAATTTGCATGATGGACTGAATAAATGTTGCAGACATAGCTGAACACTTCAACTGCATCTATAAAGATCTGTGCAAGCCATGCAAATACTATAATGTAGAACTGCAATACTCTCCAAGCAGAGGTAGGGTCGCTCGGTATTTTGGCAGTATTTTCGCGTTTTTAATACGTCTTTCTACTTTTACGGTTTTTCCTTAAGGGGAGGAAGACCAGACGAAAACCGTAAAAGTAGAAAGACGTATTAAAAACGCGAAAATACTGCCAAAATACCGAGCGACCCTACCTCTGCTTGGAGAGTATTGCAGTTCTACATTATAGTATTTGCATGGCTTGCACAGATCTTTATAGATGCAGTTGAAGTGTTCAGCTATGTCAGCAACATTTATTCAGTAGAACTAAGAGTAGAACTGCAAAAGATGTGATAAAACATTTCTTCTGATTTTTAAATCAGAAGAAATGTTTTATCACATCAATGTGATAAATCTTGTGATAAATGTGATAAATGTGATCTTGTGATAAATGTGATAAATGTGATAAATGTGATAAATGTGATAAATGTGATATTGTGATAAATGTGATAAATGTGATAAATGTGATCTTGTGATAAATGTGATAAATGTGATCTTGTGATAAATGTGATAAATGCGATAAATGTGATCTTGTGATAAATGTGATAAATGTGATCTTGTGATAAATGTGATCTTGTGATAAATGTGATAAATGTGATAAATGTGATAAATGTGATCTTGTGATAAATGTGATAAATGTGATAAATGTGATAAATGTGATAAATCTTTTCAAGATTTAGTTATTTAAGGAATTTAAAAAAATTCCTTGAATAACTACCATTTTTTTAAAGAAATCTTTGTAGAACTTGTTTTCATTGCCCACAATAGGATTGAGAGGGTAAACAGGAAAGCATAGCAAGCATCACACAGTGCAGTGGTGCAATCTGCAGTACCTTGCTGTGGTACCGTGTACATGTACTAGGTGTTAGTACCGCAGGAACTGCAGGAAAGCATAGCAAGCATCACACAGTGCAGTGGTGCAATCTGCAGTACCTTGCTGTGGTACCATGTACATGTATTAGGTGTTAGTACCACAGGAACTGCAGGAAAGCATAGCAAGCATCACACAGTGCAGTGGTACAATCCTGCAGTACCTTGCTGTGGTACCATGTACATGTACTAGGTGTTAGTACCAGTATCCTGCATGCAGGCTGATATTAGTGATGGAGGTTGGATAACTGAACTGGTGACCAGACCCTGGGAAGAGACCAGATAAACTGCCAAAGTGCTTACATACTGTCACTATAACACTGGAGGAACTTGTTAATTTCATTGATTGTACATGGCGAGCATGCTAAAGCAACTTGAAAAAAATCTTAATCTCACATTAAAAAAACTGCACTTTGAATACTCCCACACAGCATTCTAGCAATCAATTTGTAGACTTTTGGTTTGAAGTTTGAAAATCTGGTCTGCTTTTCTCACAAACATGATTGATGTAATGACATCACTGAGTCATTTGGTCAGTAAAGATCCTGACATATATTTGAACTTACTAATAGTTACATGATTGTACATGATTGTTATAACACTGGGCTCGGAATTCATTTTGGGGAATAGCTAGGTGCACTGGTGCACCCAACCAAAAAAGTAGGTGCACAAAAAAATTTTGAGGTGCATCATATAAAACAAAACCAAATTACAGATCTTACTGCTCCTATTCTAGTGAGCTTGAATCTAAAATGGGAGCTAACTTCAAAATCTTAAAGAAGTACTACAACAAAGATTTGTAACGACAAAGATTGCTTTTTCTGACACTTAAGATGCCAAAAATATCCTGTATACTATTATACATTTAGTATGTAAAAATGCCTACAAAAATATTTGGGTGCACCAGTGCACCCCCAGGAAAAAAATTGGGTGCACAGCTCCAATTTTGGGTGCACTAAGGTGCACATGCACCCAGTATTTCGAGCCCCTGTAACATATAGTTCTTATTTTATAAGTGATACCCACAACACAATGAAAAAAGTCAAGCACCAGATTACTGACTACCCTCCACACCACAGATTGAAATTTATTGTGATTTGTGAATGTATTGCGTTGTTTTTTTAAAAAAAACAGGATTGTTTGAAAAACAGGTCAAATGACCTGAGTGCAATTTCCTGTATAAATAAATAAGGCCATGTTGATTTGATTATATGGATGACATCCGCGCGCGCATGAATTTTTGGCCGTTTCCAAAAAAAAAAAAGTTTTCAACCATACTGTAAATCGTGCAAAACAGTTGCTAAATGAGCAAAAATATACCATAAGTTGCAAGGAAAACATTTAGAAATGATACCAATGTCGTAGAATGCCAAAATCAAAGGAAAAAAGACAAAAATGTAAAGAAATGAATTCGAAGAGTAGATTATTCGCCATAACATATTCTGTGCCATTTGTTCAACCTTCATGACCACCTTCATGACCACCTTCATGACCACTTTTTTTTTATTCGCACGCGCGCATCAGTTTTGGGGTTCCCAGGGGATGTCATCCATGTAATCAAATCAACATGGCCTAAAGTGAAGTGAAGTGAAACATAGACAGTTGTAACTTACCCTGTTCTCCTCCAGCACAGCTGTCCAGTCCCGCTGGGCGATCTGGGGAATGGCTGCCTTAAAGATGCGGATCCCCTTGTCAGCATTGCCCTTAAACACCTTCAGTACAGCATCCACACTCACCTGGTAAAGCACAAACACGTGCCAGGAAAGATTTCTTAGTATTGAATTTGAAAACAACCAAGGCAAGGTTTAACATAATGCAATAAGGCCAAACCAATTCAATTTCTTGGTTAATGGATTCGCTTGCTTCCTTTTTTTCTGATTTGCAACATCAACAAAAAGAAATTCAGAATCAACTACAAAATGCTCATATTTTGCCCTGAACAGTTGCAAACAGTCCTTTTCTTCCTAGTTGTTACTGTTATTCCATCTTTCATAAAAGTTCAAAATTCATTGTTTAAATTTTGAACCAGCCCGGTGTGTTGACTTCATGACTTCCTATCGTACCATTTTGGGCCATAATAAGATGCCTAGGCCTGTTTTTATTCTTTTTTTTTTTTGCCCGCCCGCTCCATTATTTTTCTAGAAAAATCCATTAACCAAAAAATTAAATTGGTGTGGCCTAAGCAAGAAATTTCATACATACGTATACACGTAACATTTTGAGCCTTTTTTTCTGGGCCATATGATAGGGAATACACATTATGCACAAATACATATTTCAGATACACACACACACACATATGTACAACACATAGTTACACACTAAAATACACACATTTTTTTCGTACATGACAGGAAAAACAAAGACATTGCTACGATACACATACATGATGCCCTGGGTCTTCCTTCCAACAATCATAGTCTGTTGCCATGGCAACAGCGGCATAGCACATCCCCGCCTCCTTGGCCAGAGCGACCTCCGGTACCGTGGTCATGTTGATGACATCACCGCCCCACATGCGGAACATCTTACTCTCTGCCCGCGAGGAGAAGCGAGGACCCTCAATGGTGACCATGGTGCCGCTTTCATGGTGCCTGATTTCCAACTCCTTGCACACATTAATTAGAATCTGTGTGGAAAAGAAAAGAATCTAGTGAATTAAATTTAGCTATCACAACAATCCTCTAAAATCTCTTAAAGCGATATTAATTTTATTACGTAAGATTTAGTTCGGTTTTCAGCTTCCAACGCATTTTTTTGGCACAATGACATTTGATTTTTCATTCCCCAAATGTCATTATAAACCCAGGTAGGCAAATAGCACAAGAAAATGTGTAAAACAAAAATGTTAAGTGATATAGTGAAAATCTTACATAATGTTGTTTTAACACCATTATCACTGAAAGAACAAATGTTGGGCCTTGCTGGGAAAGTTGCCCTGAATCTATGGCTAAAATGATGATTTCTTCAGTACAATTTTCCAGGGAACCTACTTTTCTGATGTGAGGACAGAAAGGGGTGTCCATGGGAAGGTGACACACCCCCACAGGACTGCCAGGGTTGCCATCGTAAAACGTTGCGGCGCGTTTTGTCGTCCTATCGATGAACTGGTCCAGAATGACCATGTCTCCTGGATGGATGTCTTCTCTGGGAGGAAACAAAGGAACCAGATGTATTTGCAAGAAAATCACACATAACCAGATACAGTCTGAAATGTACAACATGTATAACTCCCTATGCAGCTACTTGATCTATTGTATGATGTATTGTCTAGACGATATGTATGTATGTATCACAAAAGGTATGTATGTATGTATGTATGTATGTATGTATGTATGTATCACAAAAGGTTACTAATAGTGGAATTTCTACATGAAATGTCTGACCAATTTCAAAATCCATCGAGTAACTGTTTTCTTTTATATTATCTGCATGTCTAACCTTCATCAACAGATTTATAAGTATAGTTTTCAGTTCAAGTTGAGGACATTGAAAAGTCCTCAGCTACAAATAGACAAACACCTGAGGAGAAACCCCTTGTACCTGAGTGATCCACAGGCAGTGGTGACGACCAGGTGAGTACAACCTTCAGCCTTCAGGGCATGGACGTTTGCTCGGAAGTTAATGTTGGTTGGCATGACAGTATGGCCACGCCCATGCCTGCAAAGTGTGTGAAAGTCACATACTATAATTATTAGACTATTAAACTATCATGTAAATCATATCAGCTGACTGACTGGTCTAACAAACAAAGAAATGATGGTTTAAACATTAGCTCTTATGCAGATATATTTTTAAATGGGGGCCCGCAAGCCCTTTTCCGTAGAGCGTAATCGGCAGTTTTAATTCTACGTAGAGCATAGACGGACCGCTCTAATATTTTTGCATATAGCGTATTTGGCATTTTAATTCTACGTAATGCATTGTAGCCACTTGGAATTTATCGTAAAGCATAATCGAGAGGTTTCTGAATTCAGCGTAGAGCGTTGTCGGGACCCCCCATTGTAGGCCCTCTTAAATGTTTGGTCAATTTTAACATTCCAGCAAACAGTTCATCTCACCTGGCCAGAAGCACACATTCCACACCTGCCACATCACCCAGGATCAGAGCATCAGAAGGCTATAACAAGAAGATTTCAAGGTTTAACTCATGATGAATGTTACAGATGTCAATGGTTTATTAACCTGTCCTCAGGTCACACCAATTTAATTCCTTGGTTAACGGATTTTTCTAGAAAAATAATGGAGCGGGCGGGCGAAAAAAATAAATAAATAAAAACAGGCCTAGGCATCCTATCATGGCCCAAAATGGTATGATAGGAGCCATGAAGTCAACACACCAGGCTGGTTCAAAATTTTAAACAATGAATTTTGTACTTTTAATGATACCACTGCATTGAAAGATGGAATGACTGTAACAAGTAGCAAGAAAAGGACCGTTTTCAACTGTTCAGGGCAAAATATGAGCATTTTGCAGTTGATTCTGAATTTTAATTTTTTTTTTGCAAATCAGAAAAAAATGAAGCGGGCGAATAATTAACCAAGAAATTACAAACACAGTCGACTGTGGTAGAATTTTACCACTGTGTCTGTACTTTGCACATTGCCTTTGGACATACCGGGGTAGATACACATCTGAGTTTTAAAATATCATGTCCTGAACTGTCCGTCACTCCGTGAGCGTATGGGTAATCGGAATCACTGCCTGGTCTGCATAAACTGCTGCCCGGTCCAGTCCGAGGCTAGTTATGGGGGTTTTGGGTACTGCAAGCTGTGGAGCAAGCTTACCCATGAGTGTATGAATATTGCGGGAAAGTTTTTGTATCGGCACTAAGAAATGATGGGAAAGTTGACCCCTGACCTTTCCGTAGGGCGTGTCCACATGTTTCTCCCTCCTGTTGTCCAGGATGTCAGGATTGTCCAGTCCGGAACCTCCGATGATGCCGATCTGAAACAAGGCACAAGAACTTCAGGTCAGCCTAGCCTCCTTTTTAGGCATTCCCGGATCGGTCGGGTTTTTTTTGGGGGGGGAGGGGTATTTTCTGATCAAACGTAGATCGCACGCAATAGAAGCTTCAGCCGGCAACCCTACATATATTGAAATGCTTCTTGAGAGGAAGACATTTCTGATTTAGTTTTTATTTGTATGAATCATAAGATCACGGACGTGTAGCATTAAAGGTCAGAGTAATTAATTATTGCATGTGATTTGGACTTGATCCTCCAGACTAGTATGACCCACTAAAAAGGTACTGGGACATTATGTTTTTTTTTTCTTCTTCTTCCTTCTTCCTATTCAGTGCAAACCTCAATTGGTTGCGGGCTATTTTAACTGTATATAACTTTATGACTTTTTAACTTTATATATTGACTGGGGACAGCCACTTTCATCATAAGCTATATGATAAGACTGCAAGCAAGATCTAGAGCACGGTGTCAAGAGAAGCCTTGCAACACTCGCCACGGCTACCTACTAGTATATCATCGCTATTTGACAGGACAAGTGATGATGCTACCTTCACTTTCCTTGGTGCTGAGTTGGTTTCCATCTTTGGTCTCACAGGAACCTTTGTATCACTTAAGCATGTGCACTAGAATAAGACGTCCTCTCTCTCGATCTCTAGTTGTAAAGGAACTACTAGTTCTGCACCGCCGGTGGCTTTTTGGGACCTAAAACTAGTAAAAGTCAGGTGAATATACAGCAACACGTGAGCACGAAAGCTAGTTGTGCATGGGGGCAGCAGAACATTTGTAACAAATCTATGATACAAATCTGTCCTTATCTGCTATTTTTCAGTCAAGTAAAGAGTAAAACTTATCTTTCAGTATTTTGTCTTATTTTCTACGCAATACATGACACATAAGAGAGTTCTGTACCTAGTTATTTCGCCTTTTCTCCTAAAATGTGGTTTTGTAGCCTTCAAACCCGGAAGGTGAAAGGTTAGACGAGGTCTCTCCCGTGCGCTGTTCTCGCGAGATTTGCCCGTGGTTGTCATGACAACAAAATATTTGATACATTGTATCACGTGATCAGATGCTCTTGGAAACAACGCATCCTATCGCTACGGTGACTATAAATTTTACTTCTAAAGTTATGAAGACTAATTGTCGAAAATATAGCTAACAATAAATGCATATGATTTTTTTGTTGTATGAAGATTAGATTTTTTTGCGCAGTGTGAACCTTTTGGAAAAATAGCAACAAGATTGCTTGTTTATGTTTGCTTGCGGTAACTGCTGCGCCGCCATTTTGAAAGTAACGGGGATGTTTTGTGAAAGAACGATCGAGAAATAACGGGACAGACCTTTCAGTGGTACAATTTATACTCTCTTTTGCCATAGTCAATAGTTCTGATAACGTATAGAGTCCTTATGTATATCTGGATAATTTCAAACTCTATAATTTGAGAGTAGATAAACATTTATATTTAACCCAAAACTGAAGAAAAGTTGGTATAAAAAAATAACTACTAAAAGTCATTTTTCTGTAAAATTTCAGCGTTGGTGAATTTGTTAAATCTTCGAGATGGCGGGAACGGCGAGACATGATTACGAGATGAGACAGAAGGCGAAACAACAGCTGAGATCGTGTAAGGACCCGGTTGAACTCCTCAGACTACAGTGTCTATCACGGGGATCGTCAGGGATCAAGGGTTTGGGAAGGTAAGAACACAGAATCTTATATAAAAGTTAGGACTTGGTTAGGACTAGGTTAACTTAGTTAGTCACTCTCGTTAGGACTTGACACGGGGTTAACTAATGATGTCATGAACCCTACATTTTCCATTTGGACACAGCTACTTATGTTTCTGGAGCCCACTTAATTAATTTAAGGAGGTTTAATCCTATTAAACCTTCCTCATTGATGTAACTCCAAAATTAGATTTGGAGAAGGTAGTATAGGTAGTCATGTTACTGACCATGTATGTTTAATGATTATTTGTATCATCTAGTTATACTAACTAACTCTTTGAGCACTTGTTCTAGTAGTGCTGTACTAGGAAGGGGGCCTGCATGCCCTTTTTCGTAAGGCGTAATCAGGCCTTTTTAGTCATCGTAATCCGTAGGCAGCCTCCCAAAAAATCAACGTAATTCGTAATAGTACATTAGCCGCAAAGCGTTAAGTCATGATCAACTCTGAGTTAATGGAACAAATTCGTAATCGGCGGCGAAAATTTTGCGTAATTCGTAGTCACTACCCCCCATGCAGGCCCACTAGGACATCAGCATCTTTCATGTACTCAGTATAACATAATATATATAATACTAGTAGTAGCTTTCATCGGTTGATGTTTGATGATGCCATCAACAGCTGGTACTTGTAACATCTGTGTCTGACATCTACACCGACTAAAAAGGTAGATAAAACAATGCGTAAGATTATTTCCAATCCATCTGTGTGTTCATGATTTGCATAGATTGACTAGCCTGGGTACCATACGGATTTTCGCTACGCAACGCTAAAAAAAATCATGATTTTTTCGAGCATTGCGTAGCGAAAATCCGGATGGTACCCAGGCTATAGATTGATATCACATATCAAATTTTAACACCAGAACATATCATATCATAACATCCTACATGTTTTGTCCATGATGTCACTTGCTATATGTACATATGATTATGAAAAGTAGACATAAACATTGACTATATCACTATAACTAAAGGACTTTCCATCTATATCACATTATCAAATATTATACAGTAATCAAATATAAAATGCTACTTTGTTCCACCAGAGTGTTCAGAATCATGGACGACGATGCCAACAGGAAGCTGGACTTTGCCGAGTTCAAGAAGGGCCTGCGGGACTACGGGCTCTCCCTTGAGCCTGGCGAGGTGCAGACCATGTTTGGTCACTTCGACAAGGATGGCAGCGGCTCCATCGACTTTGACGAATTCCTTCTAAATCTCAGGGTAAGGCCACACCAATTTAATTTCTTGGTTAACGGATTTTTCTAGAAAAATAATGGAGCGGTCAGGCGAAAAAAATAAAATAAAAACAGGCCTAGGCATCCTATTATGGCCCAGAATGGTACGATAGGAGCCGTGAAGTCAACACACCAGGCTGGTTCAAAATTTAAACAATGAATTTTGAACTTTTAATGATACCACTGCATTGAAAGATGGAATAACTGTAACAACTAGGATGAAAAGGACTGTTTTCAACTGTTCAGGGCAAAATATGAGCATTTTGCAGTTGATTCTGAATTTTTATTTTTATTTGCCAATCAGAAAAAAATGAAGTGGGCGAATTCGTTAACCAAGAAATTAAATTGGTGTGGCCTAAGTTGGAATCTGCAGGTTTACTGGAGTTGTTCTGTTAATGTTATATTTTCAACATCATATCAAATACTGGTCATGGATCTGGGATTGAAATAAGAAATATCCTAGAACTGGTGATAAAAAAACTTTATATAGAGACCTGACTCGCTAACTTACTCTCATCTGCCGAATAAACATACCCCCCGGAATAAACGTACCCCCCCGAACAAATCTTCAAAATCAAATAAACATACCCCCGGAATAAACGTACCCCCCGGAAAATTACTAAAATTGACGGGTAACCTGTGTCTCTTGTACTAAAATGCGCCCTTACTGATATATGCACAAATCTTTAACTGTTATTTGCAATTAGGAAGTGAAATAGAGAAAAAAAAAAGGGGCATTTAATATTTCGTATTTTGATAAGCACCACCCATGACAATAGAACATTCAGACGAATTTATGCACGCGGTGATTGCAAAAACCGGCCAGAAAATGACAAGTTTCTCGCTACAATACGCGTTTATAAACGTCTTCACGTCGATGATTTGTCAATTTTTTTCACACGAAGTTAAAAAAAATTACTGGTTTTCAAAAAATTAATAAACGTACTGTGCAAAATAAGAACGTACTGGGTGGATGTTAGGGCCCAAAAAAATAAACGTACCCGTATGTTTATTCGGCAGATGAGAGTAACAATATTACATATCATATTGAGTTTTTGTTGTTGATAGGTTTAAGATTTTAGATTATAATTTGGAAATACTTGTGCTATGTAATGTCAAGAATTTGGTATTTCTAATAGGTTTATGGCAGTAATTTTATTGAAAAACATAGACACATCCTGCTTACCAAAGTACATTTTGTATCTGCATGCTTAATTTTTATTTTGTTCTCTTTTCATTGCTTCAAAATCTCCCATAACCAACAACCAGTGAACCTTCTTGTACTATTTTTTTCCCATCCAGCCCCCCATGTCCAAAGCTAGGAAAGAGGTCATCATGCAGGCCTTCAACAAACTGGACAAGACCGGGGATAACGTCATCACGATCGCTGACCTGAAGGGAGTCTACAACTGCAAACACCATCCCAAATACAAGAGTGGGGAGTGGACAGAGGACCAGGTGTTTGGGGAGTTCCTCAAGAGTTTTGATGAGAACATGGATGGGACTGTAAGTCTGTGTGAAACATTAAACATTGTAGCCTTTTCGACATGGCTGACCCTGTATGATTAGCCTGTGTGTCGTCCTATGTCGTGTAGCTAGCTCCTTCCCACAATTTTGTCAGGGAGCAAGTATGGGAGCCCTGGTAAGGGCACGGTCACATTTCCAAGCCGGGGCCCGGCCGGGTTGTTTGCGTGAACGAGAAATAAACAATTTGTATAAAGAATTTAAAGACTATACACAAATAGTGCTCATGGTTAATTTTCTAAAACTATTATATATATATTGTGTTTTGCTGTCTTATATCATAATTTTCGTTCCATACGACTGCCCGGCCGGGCCCCGGGTTGGGAAATGTGACCGCGCCTTAAACTAAGTAAGACGGCACCCAGGCTACCCTACTGTGGCCATATAATGTGGTTTGAACTTGTCAAAAAGATTCAAATGTACAATTGTAGGGTACACAAGGACTTGGGTCAGTTATGTTAGATTTGTTTGATGTCTACCTTTCCTGTGGTATGTCTAGTAGATGCTACAGAGTACTGGAGTAACAAAATTTTTTAAAACCCTAACAAATCATATGTGAAATAGGGATTCTCATCATTTTGTAAGGGTTCGCAGCTGTTTATACACTTTATGTGACTGTGAACTTAATGAAATGCAAGTTTTTATTTGATATTTCCCCTTGTACTCTGTAGTATTTCTGTCTTTCAGAAGGTATTCTTTCTAAGTTTGCTTTTCACTGTCTTGAGACTGTGTTAGTAGTTGAATCTGTAGCACTTACCAAATCCAGACTTTCTATGTTGTGTGTGTAGTTGTGCTACATATTATGCCTGTGTACCTTTGGTAACATTGTTCTATGTGTGCAGTGCAGCATGCAAGTATGTGTAGTGTATACCAAAATTTGAATACGTGTGTGTGTAGTTTAGTGTAGTGCATGCAGTGGTGTAGCACAGTACATTTAGTGTAGTATAGTGTGTGCATGCAAGTGTGTGTAGTGTTACATAGGCCTGGTGTGTTCACTTGCATCAGTATAGTGTAGTGTAGGGTGTGCATGCAAGTGTGTGTAGTGTTACATAGGTGTGTTCACTTGCATCAGTATAGTGTAGTGTAGGGTGTGCATGCAAGTGTGTGTAGTGTTACATAGGTGTGTTCACTTGCATCAGTATAGTGTAGTGTAGGGTGTGCATGCAAGTGTGTGTAGTGTTACATAGTTGTGTTCACTTGCATCATTGTGTGCATCTACTCATGAATGGCATTTCAAACAGTAGTAGTATTAATATGCAGGTAACTTCTAACTTCTGTTGTTATTCTTTCCATCTATTAATGTTAAAGTTTATAATAACCTCTAGCATGTACTCTTTCCTTTAAAGTGACCATCTTCTTATTCAGCTACCAGTACTAGTGTTTTTTTCACTAACAAATTGCCATTAACACTTTCAGTTTCATTAACATGCTGCTTCATCCAGTGTTCACATTTCAGAATATAAATCCACACCAATTTAATTTCTTGGTTTAACGAATTTTTCTAGAAAAATAAAAACAGGCCTAGGCATCCTATAATGGCCCAAAATGGTACGATAAGAGCAATGAAGTCAACACACCAGGCTGGCTCAAAATATTAAACAATGAATTTTGAACTTTTAATGATACCACTGCATTGAAAGATGGAATAACTGTATAAACTAGGAAGAAAAGGACTGTTTTAAACTGTTCAGGGCAAAATATGAGCATTTTGCAGTTGATTCTGAATTTTTATTTTTATTTTCAAATCAGAAAAAAATGAAGTGGGCGAATCCGTTAACCAAGAAATTAAATTAGTGTGGCCTAAACAACAAGCTTTTTTCTCAGTAGCATCACCTCAGGTCTTTGTAGCTATATAATATTCCTTTTTAACTAACATTGCATTTATCTCCATTTTTTTAGAAAGTCCTTGCTTACTGCTTCCTTCCACAGCTGCATTAGTTAAATAGCTCATGCTTCTTACTTGCATGAGTACAGTTGTTTGTTGTCGAACTTGTACGCTTTTTTCAGACACAGTTAGTTGTGTAGACCATGCTTTGCATGAAGAACTTTACCAGTCTTTGCAGTCGTACACTTAACAGTCAGCGACTTTGTGTTCATTTTTTTCCACTGTGGCCAGAATCCTGATGCTATCTCTGCATAGTGATGCATACCTAAACCCAATTTTAGGTTCAGGTCCGGATTCAAGTCCAGAGGTTTAGGTTCAGTTCCGGACTTGTAAGTCCGGACCTAAACCCATGGCATATACAAAATTGCATATTGGCAACATTGCACTGGTGTCTGGGTGAAACTTTGGCCACATAACATAGAGGCCAGTACTTGACGATGCCCGGTGGCAATGTTTTCTTCATTTTGCAGCAAAGATTTTGCAATCTACAGAAGGTTTTAAGTGGTTTGGAAAGAAAAGGGGTACCGGTATGTGAAATGGTCTTTTATGGTAATAAGTCCGGACTCGGTTCTTGACTTTTAGTTTTTTTTGGACTTGAACCTAAACATTCTTACAAGTCCGGATCCAAGTCCAGTGAACCGGTATGCATCACTATAGACTCTGCAAATGAGAAATACATTCTGTCCCCAAACACAGAAAGATTGCTTTGTTGAAGCTACATTTTAGATTTCCATGGCTGTACAAAACATCTTCATGACTGCCCCCCCCACCCACACACCAATAACAAACAAAATGGCAGAATTTCTGATTATAATGCTAAAGCAATTTCACAACACAGTGTCATCTTTGTTTTTTATTCCTCCATAACATGTTGTCAAACCTTCATACTGCTTTCTTACAAGCTGTATACATGTACATCACACGTTTGTGTCGCTTATTCATCTTGTACTACATGTTGCCCTTGTTTGTGTATGATATCCACTATCTGGTACCACCTCTACTATATTTGCTTGATTTCTGTTTCTATGTTTACATGTTGAAAAGTTGTTTCTCTCTTTTTACCATTATCAGAAGCAAATCTTTACATCCTCCCTAATACGTCACTTCATGTAACACCTCCCCTCCGCTGTCCATCATATTTTCCTGTCTAGGTGAACCATGACGAGTTTTTCAACTACTATGCGGGAGTCAGCGCATCAATAGATAACGACGCCTACTTCATTCTTATGATGAGGAACGCATGGAAGCTTTGACGGGGTCGGTGGCTGGTAGGAGAGACGTTGACGCGTTCAATCCGTTACACACGTCATCGCGTCAGCCTGGGTTGGCACAGCGCTTGCTGTCCCCAGGATCCGATCTGCTGTACCTACGGATGGCTGTCCCACATCCCTGGGTACAGCAGGGGATCGTGTGCCGAGGCAGGCTGACGCCATACGTGTTTCTGTAGATCGACAGCCTAGCAAGCGTGTGACATAAAAAGTAGCTGCTTTCTTGATACAGTAGACAAAAAACTAGACAGCTTGTCCTGGGAAGTTTAGGCCTTTGACATGCTGGTAGTTGTTTTAGTTTGCCAACAAAAGTGACTTTAGATGGCAGTGTTGCTTGTTTGTAAAAAAGTATCTGAAAACGTAGATAGCACACCATTGGAAGTTCATTCCTTTGGCATGCTGTTAGACTTATTTGTTCTAGGAAGAAAAGCTGCGTTAGAGATTGTGCTATGTCGATCTGGTTGTGGATTGGATGAACATCTTACACATGCTCACATACTGTGTGTATAACCTCAGCTAAGGCCACACCAATTTAATTTCTTGGTTAACGGATTTTTCCAGAAAAATAATGGAGCGGGCAGGTGAAAAAATAAAAACAGGCCTAGGCATCCTATTATGGCCCAAAGTGGTACGATAGAAGCCATGAAGTCAGCACACCATGCTGGTTCAAAATTTAAACAACAATGAATTTTGAACTTTTAATGATACCATTGCATTGAAAGATGGAATAACTGGGCAACTGAACTGAACAACTAGGATGAAAAGGACTGTTTTCAACTGTTAAGGGCAAAATATAAGCATTTTGCAGGTGATTCTGAATTTTTATTTTTATTTGCAAATCAGAAAAAATGAAAGGGGACGAATCCGTTAACCAAGAAATTAAATTGGTGTGGCCTAACATGCCTACGTGCGGACTGTCGTGTGTGTGTTTGCTTGCTTCTGTAAACTAGTCATGCCTCCCCCCCTCCCCTGTACATGAATAACCAAATGTTGGGTTTTTCCTAGGACTGATGACAGTGAGACTGAAAGCTGAAGGGACATGACATATACAGTATAACACTTTGTTTAATCCTACATTTTCACCCAAAACCTTGTCACAAAATTCCAATGCCGTCAGTACATGTGTGTCAAAAAAGGATGCATACATTCAAAATATACACAGAATCCAACAATCTTTTGAAGAATCCAAAGTTATAGATATTATCCTGGATAACCTGGTGTGTTAATAATGTGTGTCATTGTTTATTGATTGTCTACTAGCATTTGTTACAGTCTTAGGAGTTGTGAGGACATTGTAATGTTGAACAGTTTCATTTTTATTGTTGAAAATAATCACTCGACTCAGGCAACACCTGTCAGTGTAAAGCCAATGGGGAAGGGGTAATGGGAGAGATTGATTATTTTGCTCCCTCTACCTTTTCTTCCAAAACTGCAGTCTGGGAACAAGGTTGCTCTAGCCTAGTTGAATGCTGCAATAGGCTAAGGTTTTGCCCTAGCTGCTCAGTAGTTTCCAACTCCTAGTTGAGTCTCTGGAAAAGAAATTAGACTAACACGGTGTTACATTTTTGTTTTGCGTAGTATAGCAGAGTTTTTACCCCCTGACTGCATTGGTTTTACATTGACAGGTGTATGACTGTGTCTCTGGCCTTTTCCAGCATATTTCTAACAAGGTCTTATTTTTCACACCCTTGCAGGTCACCCATGACGAATTCTTCAACTACTATGCAGGAGTCAGCGCGTCTATCGACACTGACGTGTACTTCTGTCTCATGATGAGGAACGCTTGGAAATTATGAGAACTTTTAACTCTTTGTGCAACCATGTCAAAAGTGCAGCTGTAACAGAACAAGTCTTTGAGCACTTGTTCTTGTTTCAAAAGATTCCAAAAATCATTTCTGCGGAGTCGCTACGCTAAATTGTGAGTAAAATTATATGGTATGACACGTAAAAACTGATCTGAAATGATAGTGGTTTAAATTCTGAAATGCTTAATTTTGGCCAGTCACCTCGATTAGAATGTAAAAAAGTTTGAGTCTTGTAGTACATGTGTAATATGGCATGATATGTACAGTAATGTATTTGCTAGTGATAGAGCTATAGGACTGTAGAGTGAACTATTTCTGTTCTCTCTGTGACCTAGTGATTGTCACGTGCAAACTGCTCATAAGATAAGAAAACTTTTAAAGCTTTGTCGCTATTTTAAGTTGCTTACTTCTTGAATGTAATGATTTTTAGTAGAATTTTAAATGTACATATTTTATCTTTGATAATAGTGACCATGGATAAGGAGATTTTATCCTAGTTCACAAGGGATTTATATGTTATGTTCCCTATTTGTGAAGTGGAACCGTCCATGTACATTGTAAAACATATCCGATATTGAGCCATTCCATTAGAAAATGGGAGTAACAGACTTAAGGGTCCAAGATTACTCTAATGATAGACTCCATGAGTTGGTGTGACTAAAGTAGTGAGTTGAAAATGTTGTTGAACACACTTCTCTTTCAAGTACAGGGCAGTCTAAGCATTTGTTACATTAATACTGATACAGACATATTGTAGATTAGGCCACAGCAAGTAAATTTTATGGATGACATCCTCCGCAGACTCCAAACCTAATGCGAGCGCGCGAAAAAAAAACAAGGCGGGCAGAAAAAAACAAGGTTCCTACATTTTAAAATTTTGACTCAATCATAGTACAAATGGTTTTGATTCAGTGGGAACATCAAATATACACAGCCAACATCACATATCACTGCATCAAAGTAAGAAACAAAACATTAAATCAGAGCCTTTTCTTGTCCCCTCTCTTCATAGTTATCTGCCATCCACCTTCCGGAATGGCAACAGACATCTTTGCCCATTTTTGGCATGTTGACCACTGTCAGAAGACAAAAAAATATCTTGTTTTTTTCCCCAAAATCAAGCGAAAATTAATGCGCGCGCTGATGTCATCCATAAAAATTACTTGCTGTGGCCTTACCATGTTAGATAGTAAATCTGTGTTTGTCACTGTCAGCTTGTGCTTGTTTGAATGTAAAGCGATGTACATTCAGCGTAAGAAAAGTGCATGTATTATGTCATTGTAGCTAAGTAGACAATAAGAACACAGTAATTTGCATAGCAGGATAGCTACTTGCTCAATCTCCTTGGAAAAGGGTTTAAAAATTCTTGAGTTGAGAGAACTGCCAAAGGAATTCTCACAATAAAAAAGGAAAGGAAAACATGTTCTGGGATAGTAAGAAATGCCCAACCCCTTTGTAGCTGAAATTTTAGAAGAAAGCTGAAGTAATTTGCATAGCAGGATAGCTACTTGCTCAATTTCCTTGGAAAAGGGTTTTAAAAATTCTTGAGTTGAGAGAACTGCCAAAGGAATTCTCACATTAAAAAAAAGGAAAGGAAAACATGTTCTGGGACAGTAAGAAATGCCCAACTCCTTTGTAGATGAAAACTTAGAAGAAATCTGAAGACAATGTTTTTGGTCTTACAGTACTAGTATTCAAATTTGTGCATGGGTAGTTTATGCTGTTGCAGAGCTATTAAATCAATTTGTCCACTCTTAAATGACCCAAATTGTCATTAATTGTGTGGTACTGATTAGTGTCAAGGGAGGGTGTAATTACTAGTAACACAAGTTGTTCACAATTTTAGCCTACTTATTTATTTTATTCACACATATTTTGTGAGCATTGGACATAAAGCATGTAATGTGGTTTTAACGATCCTTTATTCATGAATCACAAAAAATACATACAGATGGGATAACAAGTACAACTTTTACTAGTTTTAACCTACGTGGTCAGAACACAAATAATGCAAAGGCAGCATTGTCTAAAATTACCCAAATTATCGCACCCCATATTCATAATTGTCCTTTTGTTTTAAGACTTGATTTTTACAACACAAATACACGCTCAGCTAGTTTTTGCTGCAGATGTCCCTCCCTCCAGACTACGGTTGTGGGCGTGTCCGCTTCCTGAGTCTGACGTCATCAGGGCAGGTGCACGTCCACTGACCAATGACAGGCCTCCTTGTCTGATCGGTTTATATAGCGTGCGAACAGGTAGTTCTGTTGTGTTGTCTGATCAGAACAGTACTAGTACGCCTCGGTTGTTTAGCAAGATGGCCAGCCCCATGGAAAAGCTGAGGGAACAATGTCTCAAACGTGGAGCCGGAGGCATTAAAGGTCTTGGCCGGTAAGTTTTGGCGTCTTTCCAGCTACATATTGCCGTAGCTCCGCAGCTCTGTCTCGCTTGCTATCGATCTTTCTGTGTAGAATTTCTAGGAACTGCCGGACTCAAATCTTCATGTATGCACCTAATACTATGTGCATCAAACGGCTTAAAAATGTCGTCTTACAAGCTATAAGAATGATAAGTATCATGTTGTTTTTCGCCCTCAGCGGCAAGAAAAATATAGGGTGGAAAAGACTCTCACTCTTACTGGGTGTGGTCATAATACCCTGGTTACCGTCCATGTACGTGAAGATACAAATCGTTTACCAGAAAATTATCGGAGAAAGGAATTGTCTAGATATAATTTGTGGAGCAGATCGTGTTCTGAGATGTGTACAGCACTAATAGGAGGCGAAATAACTTGCTTGAAACGTATTTAGCATGGTGGGAAAAGACATGCACGAGTCGTGTTGTTTTCCAGTGGGAGCTAACCTTAGCTACCCCTCCCGCACCTCTCTACCAACACAAGCCGTAATTTCATTACAGACTCTCCCGTAACTAACTATTGTCCGCCCGGTATGCCTGGCGTGCGCCCGCCCAGGACGGGCAGTGAATTATTAATAACGTTAACATCGTGGTCGCCACAACAAAGCCGGCAAAATTGGCAATCGGGAGGCAACGCTTCTTCCTAAATGGCATCAGCCGCTCATAGATACGCCGTAGAAATAGTCTGAATACCACTGTTTAATGTGAATTGTGTACTGATGAGCTGTGGTACATGTAAATTGTCTTATTCATTCTAGATGTGGTGGAAAATTCATTTGCATTCGTATCTTGGAGAAGTTGACTTGATGATTTACCAGCGTGCGATATGAACCACTGTGAAAGTATAGCAAACATTCTAGCACGGCCCGTACTGTGGGTAGTATATCTTACACCAAGGAGGTTCACCTCTTTGCTTACGTGCCAGTACATGTTTAGACATTCCGACTCCCTGCCGCGGAAATCAGTGAACCAAACCAAAACATGACCGTCTGTTGTTCTCAAATGCACACCTATTGACTACAGGTGAATGAGTGGTAGTTTCAAATTTCGGGCGCGGGAAGGGTTGAAAGTCCAAGCATGTATATAACTATACAAAAATGCACGGACATTAGCCGTAGTACCGACCAATGGCCAGGCCCAGTGTACTTTTTAAAGACTCCAAAAATAATCTCTTACCTTCCCTTAAAGGCATCCAGTGCAGTTTTTAGGGCTTGGAAACCAGATTTTTCAAACTCAATATTCTAGTCACCCATCTACGTATCTGAGTTGAAACCACACTATCCCAATGTATATTGACCCTCATGGAGCAAAAATACCCAAAATTCTGACGGAAAGTGGTTACTAGAAGGGCCCTGGGCTGATTTTAAGGGTACCACCCAGAAAATAAAGGACTCATCTTGGGGCTTGTTTCTGCAGTTTTAAATGCCTCAAGTATGAAATGCTGATTCAAATGTGCTAATGTGAAGCAGTATGTGTCAATATCAACAAGATTTCCTTATTCAGAATATTTCCAGTTTTGCTGCCCCGAAATGCTACTCATACGACTACGTAGGGTCTACATAGATATTATCGGTGTTACTGCAGCAAATAGATTATTCAGTATAGCTAACGATTGCAGTTAATAATGGATCGAAGAAAACATGAAGGGCATGCTCGATGACCGACTGCAGTGTAATACTTAGTATTCAAAATCCGTATGTCCCTTGTGGCCAGCTGGGTTTAGACCCATCACAATCGCGTGGCTTACTGAGGGATTTTACAGCTCAGAGACATAACATGGAGCCGGCTTGTCCGGTTCTCTGAACAGATAATAATATGGTCCCAGAGAGAACTGCTTTCAAATATAGCTGTTCATACTGAATACCTTAATTATATCCCAATATACAATGTATAATAATAATAGTAATAACCTTTATTGTACATTCATGCCCTACCGGGCTAGGTACAGGCGAACAGATGAAATAGGTAATATACATGTTTGTTGTACAAACAGCTCTAAATCTACTCTAATACATAAGTTCGGCTTCTTCTCGTTTCTTTGTGATGTTAAAAATATAATTTGAAATGGGTTTGTATAATACAGGATTTTTCAATATTAGGCAAGTATTGGAAGTATGGAATCGTACTTGTAATATATCTAAAAAGATAATTTCTTTCATTACTATATTAACTATCATCAATAACAAGAAGCCATAGGTGACAATCCTCCGTGAAGTTTTATATATTTCAACAAAATCCCAAGCGTCAACGCCAGACCTACTGTGCAGACATATTAAATTAGGCAACGGTTAATACAATGAGGGCGCGTCACAAGCATAAAACATACAAAGAGCTAAATCCATTACTGCTTCCCAGGGCATGTAAAGATACTGTGCTTCAAGTTCGAAGTTCATTTTAATTACACACACACAATCATTGCATTCACATAACTAGAGCTCCCCGATCTCAAACCTTCGCCAAATGATGTTAATCTTTATGGCTGACAAATGATGGATTATTCCCCCTGCTTGTGCAAATAGGATCCTCATTTTCATGAATTATATCAGTTTATCATATTCTCAACCAAAAGACAGTCTTATATTAACAAACAATGCCATTCTAGCATTTCCTCATAAATTATGCAAATGAGGTCCTGATTTGAATACATTATGTTTAATGATGTTCACCTTCACTGTACTTTCAAAGACCATAAGTATGAAATTCCAGGCAGTTATCATTACAGAATTATAACATTTTCTCATTAATTATGCAAATTAAGTCTTCATTTACATAATCAATATCTGCCTGTGTTTATCTCGTTCTCAATTACCAATGCGACAAGCTTCAATAGTCCTATGGTGGAATGCAGCTGATTTATAGAATTTCTCCATAAATTATGCAAATTACATCCATATTTGCATAATTGTCACATAATTATACTAAGCATCACGTAAGCTACCTGCATACCAAAAATCACGACGATCCGTCAACCGATTCTTGAGTTATTCTCTTTTGAATACATTCAAACAGATAGTCCTGCAGTTCCAGAGCAAGCCGCTAGGGGGCCCAAACTCACGTCACTTCTTTCCCAGCACAAGAGCTACGTGCCATCTGAATTTCGTCACCCTGGCATGTCTAGATCATGAGATATCAAAACCGGAAGTTCAGCTGCAGTACCGTAACAAGCTGCTAGGGGGCCCAAAATCTAATCATTTTGAGGTCTCATTAGACCTACCCACCTACCAAGTATCAAGACAATCCATCAAGGCCTTCTCAAGTTATCGTGTTTACAGACACACACACACACACACACACACACACACGCATACACGAACGCCTCTGAAAACATAACCTTCTTGGCGAAGGTAAAGATCGGACTATCATGGTCGTGTCTAGTATCAAAGACAGCCCACCGTCTTACCGTGCCTGTACCTAATTAAGCGCGCCTGGAACAGGCCAAATTCCAGCAACAGTTGCGGTAAGCACCGCGAGTGTTACTACCGCCGGCCAGATAACCAGGATATCTGCTTACAGTACCTCTGCTACCAGACAACTGCCTAAACCTACGGCCTATTCCACAGGATTGTAAAAGCAGGGATGTTTCTAAAATATGCATTTACTTCAATATCAAAACAGCTACGGTAAAAATAAAAGGACGTGCATCATCCTGGACATAATGCCACACCACATGCGAAATTACACAGAAATGTGACGTACGGAAGAATGCGTTTTGGCTGCGAACATCTTCCAAAAAACTTGGCATCTCTTAAGCATGGGCAAAAACATCTGGAACCACTTATCAAAACCACCCCGTATCTGCATGAAGTTCCACCCCCCCCACTGCTATTCCAAACAACGCGTTTTTCTGGACCATTCCAATTCGCCTCGTAATTGTAGGGGTGCGTCTGCAATATTACATTGACCGCGAAAGCAGCAACGGCAAAAATACACATTCGTGCATCAACACGGGCATGCCCGCAGACGGC